TGCTCCAATTTGAGCGGAACGTCCGCTATATCGACTACCAAACCTTTTAATAGATTAACAAATATCATTCTATTTACATCCATAGTTTCACATTATGTACACGTCGCGGGGCGGGGTTGGCAAACCATCAAATCTGCCACTCAATGACACAGTTGAAAAAGATAATTGCGACAAATGTGACGACGTGTAGGGATGATTATCATTGTAATAATGACACAGGCGTGCTATAGAATTTTGGGAACCACTGACCACATTCAACTTCCTATTATTTTTGATTTTATAAATGTGAAAGCGTGTGAGGATTATTGGTCAAAAATTAAAATTAAGTTTTAAAGACATAGAGTAGGACACGACCCGACGAAGTTCACAATTATATCGAAAGTTAAGTAATTATTGTTATTAAAGAAATTTTTAACATATACCTCGTTTTTGCGAGTCCCCGATATTTTGGTACTGTTGCAAGTACCATAATCATGGGTAATAATTTTAGTAACCAACCATGTAAGTTAGGATCACCCCGTTCGTGCAGTAATATATAATGATACCTAGTCCAGACATAAGTTCTGTTACAAATGAAAATTTATACCTACATATTTATTTAAGTCAGCAAAAAATATTCAATTCTAAATAACCACCTTTGACTTTTATACAGGCCTTTAATCTGTTTGGCCAGTAATCTATGGATTTACGCACTGCTTCCAAGGGAAATTTCGCCACTGCTTGCTCCAAAGATTTTTTAATAGAATTCAATGTCACCGTATCTTTTGGAGCAGGCCATGTCCTCTAAAACTGACCATAACTTGAAGTCTAAAGGGTTCAGGTCTGGGCTAGATGAGGGCCAGTTATCAGCTCTTATAAAGTCCGGAACGTTGGTTTCAAGCCAGGCTTGGGTAGTTTGTACCTTGTAACCAGGTGCAGAATCCTGCTGGAAAGGTCACGGTATATTTTTTTAACAGTGTATTGCTGAAAGGTTTCATAACATAATCCAAGACTCTATCTAGATATACCTTTTTCGCAAATAAATAGTTTTGTTACTCCTTGATAAGACACGCTCCACCAAACCATCACTGACGCAGGATGATGACCACATTGTACCTTTGAGCGGCTTCTTTAGAACTGTGAGCGGACACTTCATCATTTTGCTTATTGTAGTGTTCTTCAATTGTGAAATTTTTTTCATGGGTAAAGAGGATATTTCTGTGCTTTTCACCTGCGTATCGCGACAGAAGGCGTTTAGATCGATCTACTCTCTTTAAATGTAAAGATTGATTTAGGGCATGTCCTGTATTACGACGATAAGCACTGAGCTTCAGGTCTTGTTATATAATACGCGACAGAGTCCTAGCGGGAATCTTCATTTCTCGCGATAAGATTTTTTGTTTCCTAATGGGGTTTCGACGAATTCCGACTTTAACAGCATTAAAAGCCTTTGTAGTTCAAACAGCATGCAGCCGCCCCGATCTTTCCTGGTCTTCGACAGATGAAGTGTTGTTGTACTGTTGATAGTATGATATACGAACATACGACTGAAACTCAGCTTTTGATGTGTTTGGAATACGACTCCATACCCACTTTGTGCAAGGCTATCACTGCAATCCTATTTTCTTTAACACCCCATTCCATATTATAATTTGACAATGAACTTGAAAAAATATGTAAAATGGCGCAAAATCGAAAGAATATTATAAAACTAGCTGCCGCCCGCGACTTCGTACGCGTAGAGTTAGTTATTTGCACATACTTTTAGACCCCAAAAGCGGGTTTATTTTTAAAGGTACATTATTAGTATACCTCTACACCATTCATAGAGCATACATGTTAAAGGAGATTGCTCAGCTTCCATACATGTTTGGCCTAAAGACCAATAATCATGAAAAATTGTTTCCTAGATTCGAAATTATATATAAATTACTGTATAAACGAATTTTATTGACGGACACCCCTGAGAACTTCTATAAACCATATACACTTAACATAGGGAAATCAAGCCAAGTACCGAAATTATGGATTAGATTCAGGTATATGGAGCATGTAGATTAACAGATAGTTGCCTGTTTTTAAAGTTAATGCTTAAGAGTTTTAAAATCAGGTGTCATCTATGCATTTCCGGTTATAATAAGGTACTCTGTGACAGAAACTGTGTGATGATTGTGAATGAGTCACAGATTAGTGAGAATTTTTAAACTCTCGTTAACCAAAGAAAGCTAAGAGATTTAGGTTATATAGCCATATATTCAGTAGCTTCATTATTTTTGTTATGTTTTTTATATAACCATATTTTAGATTTTTAGTGTATCACACCTTATTATTTTATTTATTTATTAATTTATAGTCAGGTGACGTAGGCCCATAGATGCCTTAAAGTCCAACATTTATACAGATTATAATGTGTTTATGGAGGTGTTTGGAGAAAAATGTTGGCAATAGACTTTATGATGTCGCCTACCATCTATAAGTCTGAGCACATTTGCATGTAGTGAAAATGATAATATAGTTGTGGATATTATTATTACCACAGTGTAATAAAAAAAATGATTTATTTTATCGATCTTTACCAAATAGATTTGTTTTTATGTTATATAAACAACTTCGATCAGTCTTTGGCTGAATGTTACTACACCCATAGCCATTAAAAATGATTCGTATGTTTTCCAAACCGGTAAAATTAAAAGTCCTTTTTAAAGTAAATATATTATACAAAGGTGTCCGTTGAAATCTAATGACTGTAAATTAAATTATAAATTACGCCAAGAATTACCGTGTATGCCAATATTTTTTGTGCATTTGTACTTCAAAATCATAGGACTTTCATACAAACTTCCAACCCCCCTATTACCTCCTTAGGGGTGGAGTTTCGTGAAATTCGTTCTAGCGGATATCTACACCCTATAAGGAACCTACCTGCCAAATTTTAAGTTTGTAGATGTTATAGTTTCTGAGATTTCGTGATTAACCAGTGAGTGGTATTTCGCTGCGACGTCGTCTGCGTGAACGATATACAGTACCAAAAATACCTACGATTATACCTTTTAAAACAACATTCATTTAATAAAACTAGTTTTTACGGGTTAATGCACGAAAACTTCATTTATTTATTGACGTTTCGTAGTCTTTACAGGCTACGTCGTCAGAATAAAAGCCTGTAAAGACTACGAAACGTCAATAAATAAATAAAGTTTTCGTGCATTAACCCGTAAAAACTAGTTTTATTTAATGAGAGTGATGTGCGTGAAAACCTAAGAAACAAAAAAAACATTCATTTACCCGTTTCTTCTTTACATTTCGTATCTACAGAAAGTGCAGTAACAGAGGGAGACTGTCTTTTGTAAAATTGACCTTCAAAAAGTGCTGATTTTCAGCCTGCTTTGAATAAATTACTATATGGCGATTCTGCTATATTAAGTCTTAAGATGTGACTGAAGTAGATGGAGAAATTAATGAATACAGAATAAAAATACATACCTATAGGAGTTCTCGATACATAACATTAGTGGTTTGGCTCTCCACAGCCAAAATATAAAGAGAGTCAGGACTGGTGATGCGGGAGTAAGCGACGTACAGTTGCCCCTGGGAAAAGTAGCTTGTCCTAAGGTCGACACCCGCTGCCCTCAATGTCTGCCCCTGTGACTTATTGATGGTCATCGCGAAGCAAACACTCACGGGGAACTGTACGCGCTTAAACTGGAACGGGAAGTTATGAGGTGTGAGGGGAATGCGTGGTATAAATACTGCCTCGCCGACACCACAACCCGTAAGAATTTTCGCCTCAATGGTGTGTCTGTGGAGCGAGATGACTTTAAGGCGGGTCCCGTTACACAACTTCGGAGGAGATAGGTTCCGAAGAAGCATAATTTTGGACACCGATCTTTAGCTTGATGGTATGCGCTGGAAGTCCACTTGCTGACAGGGAGTTCAGAAGTTCCATGGGATAATGTGTGGTGTCATCTTGCTCGACGACAGTGTTTATAGAGGTGTTGACCACTTCATTCCCCTCAATTTCCGAGAGAATGCATTCGTTAATTGCTGCAGCCTGATCATTTTTGGACGTCAAAATGGCCCGCTCACGCACCCAAGAATTCTGCTGGTGCGTTATACGACTCATTTATTTATTCTTTATGCACAAATGTACAATGGCGGACTTAAAGCCGTAGGCATTCTCTACCAGTCAACCATAGGATGTTGTGGAGATTATTAGTGATAGGGTGCACAACTGAAGTGGAAATCACATTGAAAGAAAATTTGATAAAAATAATAAATATAAATAAAAATATATAAACATACACATACATAAGTTAATATATTTAAATTTATACACAAATACATACATACTTCCAACAACTGATGTCCCCGTACACAGAACGAATGAGTTCTTCTAAGCTGGCTACAACTCTACCGAGAGACTGTGGGAGCACCACCTGTCCACCTCTCTCCTCTGGTAGAGTGCCTTCACCAAGACTTGGAAGGACATTGGTACGTGCATTGCCGCCGAGCTGAATACTCAATATTATTGGTCAAGCGCAGCTTACGAACTCGTGACCACAACGAAGATCGTTTCAACGAAGCATTCACCGAGTCAGCCCTCGATCCCCGTGTCACTACGGGAAGCGTTTGTCGGAAATCACCACTGAACAGGACTGTGACACCACCCATCAAATGTTCATTCCTGCGGATGTCCTGCAGGGTTCTGTCCACGGCCTCAACTGCCTTCCTATTGGCCATCGTACACTCATCCTATACGATCAGAGAGCAATGCTTGAGCACGTGTCCCTTATCACTGTTAAACAGGCGTTTCAGCGCTCTCTAAATCGTTGGGAATTTTAAACATGGCAATATACAGTTTTGACTTTCCTGCCATTTTATTATATGTATAGATAATGTACGTGTTTCAATTTCAAAATAATTAAAAAGTTACAAAAAACGAAAAGTTTTTATGGCCATACTAGTTATATTGAAGATATTATAGTTATAAGCAGTAATTGTATCGTCGGTTGGTATTGCAGGGCGATGGCGTGGAGAGTGCAGCAGCGCGAGCAGCTCGCACGCGGCGGCGGGCGATGGCGCGACGCGCGGCGGCCGCGCGGCTGCGGCCCGGCACGCCGCCGCCCGCGCCCGGACGACGGCACCACCCCATACAGACCGACTACTACCTCGAGGAGGTGACACTACACGCCCGATACATACTACATGCATTACAAGCGCGGCTGCGGCCCGGCACGCCGCCGCCCGCGCCCGGACGACGGCACCACCCCATACAGACCGACTACTACCTCGAGGAGGTGACACTACACGCCCGATACATACTACATGCATTACAAGCGCGGCTGCGGCCCGGCACGCCGCCGCCCGCGCCCGGACGACGGCACCACCCATACAGACCGACTACTACCTCGAGGAGGTGACACTACACGCCCGATACATACTACATGCATTACAAGCGCGGCTGCGGCCCGGCACGCCGCCGCCCGCGCCCGGACGACGGCACCACCCCATACAGACCGACTACTACCTCGAGGAGGTGACACTACACGCCCGATACATACTACATGCATTACAAGCGCGGCTGCGGCCCGGCACGCCGCCGCCCGCGCCCGGACGACGGCACCACCCCATACAGACCGACTACTACCTCGAGGAGGTGACACTACACGCCCGATACATACTACATGCATTACAAGCGCGGCTGCGGCCCGGCACGCCGCCGCCCGCGCCCGGACGACGGCACCACCCCATACAGACCGACTACTACCTCGAGGAGGTGACACTACACGCCCGATACATACTACATGCATTACAAGCGCGGCTGCGGCCCGGCACGCCGCCGCCCGCGCCCGGACGACGGCACCACCCCATACAGACCGACTACTACCTCGAGGAGGTGACACTACACGCCCGATACATACTACATGCATTACAAGCGCGGCTGCGGCCCGGCACGCCGCCGCCCGCGCCCGGACGACGGCACCACCCCATACAGACCGACTACTACCTCGAGGAGGTGACACTACACGCCCGATACATACTACATGCATTACAAGCGCGGCTGCGGCCCGGCACGCCCCCGCCCGCGCCCGGACGACGCACCACCCCATACAGACCGACTACTACCTCGAGGAGGTGACACTACACGCCCGATACATACTACATGCATTACAAGCGCGGCTGCGGCCCGGCACGCCGCCGCCCGCGCCCGGACGACGCACCACCCCATACAGACCGACTACTACCTCGAGGAGGTGACACTACACGCCCGATACATACTACATGCATTACAAGCGCGGCTGCGGCCCGGCACCGCCGCCGCCCGCGCCCGGACGACGCACCACCCCATACAGACCGACTACTACCTCGAGGAGGTGACACTACACGCCCGATACATACTACATGCATTACAAGCGCGGCTGCGGCCCGGCACGCCCCCGCCCGCGCCCGGACGACGGCACCACCCCATACAGACCGACTACTACCTCGAGGAGGTGACACTACACGCCCGATACATACTACAATGCATTACAAGCGCGGCTGCGGCCCGGCACGCCGCCGCCCGCGCCCGGACGACGGCACCACCCCATACAGACCGACTACTACCTCGAGGAGGTGACACTACACGCCCGATACATACTACATGCATTACAAGCGCGGCTGCGGCCCGGCACGCCCCCCGCCCGCGCCCGGACGACGGCACCACCCCATACAGACCGACTACTACCTCGAGGAGGTGACACTACACGCCCGATACATACTACATGCATTACAAGCGCGGCTGCGGCCCGGCACGCCGCCGCCCGCGCCCGGACGACGGCACCACCCCATACAGACCGACTACTACCTCGAGGAGGTGACACTACACGCCCGATACATACTACATGCATTACAAGCGCGGCTGCGGCCCGGCACGCCGCCGCCCGCGCCCGGACGACGGCACCACCCCATACAGACCGACTACTACCTCGAGGAGGTGACACTACACGCCCGATACATACTACATGCATTACAAGCGCGGCTGCGGCCCGGCACGCCGCCGCCCGCGCCCGGACGACGGCACCACCCCATACAGACCGACTACTACCTCGAGGAGGTGACACTACACGCCCGATACATACTACATGCATTACAAGCGCGGCTGCGGCCCGGCACGCCGCCGCCCGCGCCCGGACGACGGCACCACCCCATACAGACCGACTACTACCTCGAGGAGGTGACACTACACGCCCGATACATACTACATGCATTACAAGCGCGGCTGCGGCCCGGCACGCCGCCGCCCGCGCCCGGACGACGGCACCACCCCATACAGACCGACTACTACCTCGAGGAGGTGACACTACACGCCCGATACATACTACATGCATTACAAGCGCGGCTGCGGCCCGGCACGCCGCCGCCCGCGCCCGGACGACGGCACCACCCCATACAGACCGACTACTACCTCGAGGAGGTGACACTACACGCCCGATACATACTACATGCATTACAAGCGCGGCTGCGGCCCGGCACGCCGCCGCCCGCGCCCGGACGACGGCACCACCCCATACAGACCGACTACTACCTCGAGGAGGTGACACTACACGCCCGATACATACTACATGCATTACAAGCGCGGCTGCGGCCCGGCACGCCGCCGCCCGCGCCCGGACGACGGCACCACCCCATACAGACCGACTACTACCTCGAGGAGGTGACACTACACGCCCGATACATACTACATGCATTACAAGCGCGGCTGCGGCCCGGCACGCCGCCGCCCGCGCCCGGACGACGGCACCACCCCATACAGACCGACTACTACCTCGAGGAGGTGACACTACACGCCCGATACATACTACATGCATTACAAGCGCGGCTGCGGCCCGGCACGCCGCCGCCCGCGCCCGGACGACGGCACCACCCCATACAGACCGACTACTACCTCGAGGAGGTGACACTACACGCCCGATACATACTACATGCATTACAAGCGCGGCTGCGGCCCGGCACGCCGCCGCCCGCGCCCGGACGACGGCACCACCCCATACAGACCGACTACTACCTCGAGGAGGTGACACTACACGCCCGATACATACTACATGCATTACAAGCGCGGCTGCGGCCCGGCACGCCGCCGCCCGCGCCCGGACGACGGCACCACCCCATACAGACCGACTACTACCTCGAGGAGGTGACACTACACGCCCGATACATACTACATGCATTACAAGCGCGGCTGCGGCCCGGCACGCCGCCGCCCGCGCCCGGACGACGGCACCACCCCATACAGACCGACTACTACCTCGAGGAGGTGACACTACACGCCCGATACATACTACATGCATTACAAGCGCGGCTGCGGCCCGGCACGCCGCCGCCCGCGCCCGGACGACGGCACCACCCCATACAGACCGACTACTACCTCGAGGAGGTGACACTACACGCCCGATACATACTACATGCATTACAAGCGCGGCTGCGGCCCGGCACGCCGCCGCCCGCGCCCGGACGACGGCACCACCCCATACAGACCGACTACTACCTCGAGGAGGTGACACTACACGCCCGATACATACTACATGCATTACAAGCGCGGCTGCGGCCCGGCACGCCGCCGCCCGCGCCCGGACGACGGCACCACCCCATACAGACCGACTACTACCTCGAGGAGGTGACACTACACGCCCGATACATACTACATGCATTACAAGCGCGGCTGCGGCCCGGCACGCCGCCGCCCGCGCCCGGACGACGGCACCACCCCATACAGACCGACTACTACCTCGAGGAGGTGACACTACACGCCCGATACATACTACATGCATTACAAGCGCGGCTGCGGCCCGGCACGCCGCCGCCCGCGCCCGGACGACGGCACCACCCCATACAGACCGACTACTACCTCGAGGAGGTGACACTACACGCCCGATACATACTACATGCATTACAAGCGCGGCTGCGGCCCGGCACGCCGCCGCCCGCGCCCGGACGACGGCACCACCCCATACAGACCGACTACTACCTCGAGGAGGTGACACTACACGCCCGATACATACTACATGCATTACAAGCGCGGCTGCGGCCCGGCACGCCGCCGCCCGCGCCCGGACGACGGCACCACCCCATACAGACCGACTACTACCTCGAGGAGGTGACACTACACGCCCGATACATACTACATGCATTACAAGCGCGGCTGCGGCCCGGCACGCCGCCGCCCGCGCCCGGACGACGGCACCACCCCATACAGACCGACTACTACCTCGAGGAGGTGACACTACACGCCCGATACATACTACATGCATTACAAGCGCGGCTGCGGCCCGGCACGCCGCCGCCCGCGCCCGGACGACGGCACCACCCCATACAGACCGACTACTACCTCGAGGAGGTGACACTACACGCCCGATACATACTACATGCATTACAAGCGCGGCTGCGGCCCGGCACGCCGCCGCCCGCGCCCGGACGACGGCACCACCCCATACAGACCGACTACTACCTCGAGGAGGTGACACTACACGCCCGATACATACTACATGCATTACAAGCGCGGCTGCGGCCCGGCACGCCGCCGCCCGCGCCCGGACGACGGCACCACCCCATACAGACCGACTACTACCTCGAGGAGGTGACACTACACGCCCGATACATACTACATGCATTACAAGCGCGGCTGCGGCCCGGCACGCCGCCGCCCGCGCCCGGACGACGGCACCACCCCATACAGACCGACTACTACCTCGAGGAGGTGACACTACACGCCCGATACATACTACATGCATTACAAGCGCGGCTGCGGCCCGGCACGCCGCCGCCCGCGCCCGGACGACGGCACCACCCCATACAGACCGACTACTACCTCGAGGAGGTGACACTACACGCCCGATACATACTACATGCATTACAAGCGCGGCTGCGGCCCGGCACGCCGCCGCCCGCGCCCGGACGACGGCACCACCCCATACAGACCGACTACTACCTCGAGGAGGTGACACTACACGCCCGATACATACTACATGCATTACAAGCGCGGCTGCGGCCCGGCACGCCGCCGCCCGCGCCCGGACGACGGCACCACCCCATACAGACCGACTACTACCTCGAGGAGGTGACACTACACGCCCGATACATACTACATGCATTACAAGCGCGGCTGCGGCCCGGCACGCCGCCGCCCGCGCCCGGACGA